TAATATTGTATTCGAAAATATTTTACCTGTCTACCATATTTACAACACCACTGCCTTTCTTGTGCAATAATGTTTCTAAATGAGAAAAAAAATAAAGTACGCAATTAAAAACCAGATATTTAGTTGTGCCATATATCTACGTGAAAGTTAAGATAAAAGAAGAGTGAACAAATAAACACGTGATGTTTTATCGTATTTACTGTTTTTAGCAAAATTTTTGAGCAATAAAAGCAGTAGATTAAATCATTGAATATATATATTAAAGCAGTGCATTACGTGTAAGAAATAAAGAAAAAAGTACAACACACTATTATAAATAATTTCTTTGTTTGTTTGTCTCGAAAATTTATTTAATAAAGCCTATTTTAATAAAAAATAAATTATATGAAAATAGTATTTGTGTATTCATGTTGAAATTGATTAGTAAATCATCATTTTTATTTTGCTTTTGTTCATATATAATATAGCTGAATGAAGACCATTTTTCTAAAGCAAAAAAGAAACATGTTAATGAAGAAAGTCTATTTTTTGACACACTGTGAATCACATGTTTATATTAAACATACATTTAAATCTAATGTTTATTAGGCTATTAATAACTTAGTTTTTCTGCAATTGAATTTATGCGAAGTCTACAAACGGTTTAATCACTTTTTAGTCACGACACGGCATATGTAGAACGGAGTGTTTTTTTAGCGCTAGTAACTTTTTTCCACTAGCTTTCTCTCGACGTTTTCGGTGGAGTAAGTTTTTCCCAGTAGGTCTGGTCAAGTTTTTCTTTTTTTTAGTCCCGCACATGCCTAGTTAGAACGCCGCACATAATGTAGATCAAAGTGACTAGAAAAATTGATATTCGACTTGGAATTTTACACCGAGATAGGGTGTGGGTTTGGGTCTGAATCTTCCCTTTTGTGACAGCTACATGCAAACTTCACATTCACATCCCACACCCAGTATGCCTAAAGACGAGTAACTTTCTAGTGAACTATAATTCTCTCGTTCAAATTGTCATGTCGTGAATCTATTGAATCAATTGTATACTTTCCGCATAAATCAAACTCTGCTGCTACACTGAGAAGGATGTGGGTGTTCATCTCATTCACACTCATATACCTGTATCTTATAAAAAATGAAGTTTTTTTTACAAGATGAAATCACTTCTTAAAAGAGCTTTAATTAATTGAAGAGTTTATTAGAATTCAAATGCTTCATTGCAAGAACTGTTCTGATAGATAAAGTGTATCAGTCTACTGATCTGTGTGATAAAACATCAAAATAATACTTCGAAATATTTTTGAACATTTCAAAAGCTAAAATTTCTATATGATTATGCCTTGATCAGGTATGCGAGCTGATTTCTGTGATGATTTGCCTCAATAGGCGGTAAAGATTTTTCTAAAACACCAATAAAGTACGCCGCACAGAAATAACTTCAGTAATATCAACGAAGAGCAATAAAGAATATCTCAAAATTCAGACTTTCAAGATGTTTCAAGTATCCCAAATTAATATGGAGTGGTTCAAGCTAGGTTTTTGATCGGTCGATAGATTCGCCGTCTTTGAGTAGTTCAAATTTCTATGGGTTTCAAGCGGCTGAAATGTGTCCGGAAACTCGAAAATAAGTGTTCAACGGCCATTTAGGGACTCAAAAATCGGCTATTTCAAACCTCCGAGCACTCGTCGCAGCCATCATATGCTTTATAGGATCTGCTTGGACACTTCACTCTAGGAAAATGCTAGAGTATTCTCTATAGCTCCTGAAGAGGCGATTCGTGAAAGGATCAAGAAACCGAAGCACTGGTTAATTTTTTAATTTTTGTTTTTTTATGTGCATTCGAAAGATATTATGTAAGCCACAACACCCAAACTTTCAGCACCTTTCGATGTTCTATAGTAAAGTTAGTCGGGATCGACTTTTTTGTACTTTCTACCTACTCTTCAAAAATAGGTAGTGATGAACTCTCCCATAAATGTCTACTAGGTTTACACTCCAACAAGTTAGAGGATTTTTTCATACACCATACTCATAGATAGAGTATAAAAGGCTTGACAATATGGGCAATTTCATATACTGTCGCATCGTCTATTGACTTGGATTTTTCTAGATAAAAAAATCCATGCTGAATATTATATATGTTACGTATCTTGTGCTTTTCTACAAGATGATAACAAAATATTGAAAAAAACGTTTACCTTTGTGGTTAAACGGGGCTCATAACTCTCTCCTACATAGTGCTTTTTCAAAACGAAAAAATTTTTTTAGAGATTTTCATGACAAAGAAATGATTGTAAAGCAAAATACGTATGATTTCGAAATCAGCGCCCAAAATCAGACCAATTGAAACATATTTTAGAGAAGTTTTGAAGTGTGGGTATGGGTACTGTAGCGTATCGCGATCATATATACCCGCACCCAGTACCTCGCATACTAGGATGGTGCTTGATCTTCTCATAAACTCCTTCTCAATGACTTGTTGTCTTCTTAATATTGATGGATAAATGAGATCGTTTAAAATTCGTTCTAATTCAGTTGCATTAGTATGAAACCGTTCTGTTTAAGAATCTATACCAAACAGCCGTCAAAACGTTTATGAACCTCTCCTAAATAGTCCTTAAGACAGTGCGGATTACGATAAGTATTTTCTTGGCATCAATCACCTAACGACATGATATTATTGGAATAGCTGTTAAAAAACATTTAACACTTATTGTTAAATGTTCATTAATACCTTTAGACTTCATTATAAATTAACGGAAATGGTCCTCGCCTACTTCGTACCCTCAAATATATTCGATCCACATCATTCTCGCAAAAGTAGAGAGAAAGAATCTAAATATTTGTCTTTGTTAGAAAACGTGGAAGAGCGCATTTACTTCTGTATCTTATTTTTCTTAAATAAAAATCTCTTTTGGTTTTAAAGGAAAATTGACAAGGCTATTTTCTTCTGAAATTATTTATGCGAGAGCATTTTTTGAAACGATTATTAATTTGATGATAAATAGAATATTGTGAGTTTGAACGAGATACGTTTCATGGGATGTTCATACATACTAGAAGATGTCATATTGAAATACTTTCATGACCCACATACATTTCTAAACTTTTTTCAACAAATAAACTAGTATTTTGTTCTAAGGATCAGATACTAAGTCATATGTATGAAAACATAAGATAGATAACACTACAATCATCATTATTGATATCTTTATTCTTATATTTTCACCTATTGAAGTTTTATTATCAAGTGGAAATATTTTCTTGCTATTTTAATATAAAATTACCTACCTTCTTCTTTATCGAACTTTCATTCGATTCATTATTCGCAATTTATTCCAAATATTCTATCGTTTCTTTCATGTAGTCTTCTACAGATTTTGAAGACTTCAAAGTGTTCGTTTTATATTCAAGTATAATTAAATTTGATGGTTAAATTTGTCAGTGAGACCTCTTGCCGAATCAAAGTGTGGAATCCATAATCTGTGACTGTTATAAATTGATTATATATTGTCAAAGATCTTGAAATAATTTATTTTAAAAAATGCAAAATAAAGAAATCAATCAAAATTATAACAATTTTTATAGTTGATATATGCGCTCTGATATTTTGTTATGTTGAAAATGTTCACATTTCTAATTATTTTTCTATCAATTTATTTGATTCATTTAACATCACAATGTTGAAGAAAATACTAATTGTATTGTCAAATACATCTTTAATACAGCTCATTTTCTGTAAATGATAATATATGTTAAATATATACCATGAAAGGTAACGCAGATGGTCTTAATCTTTGTTTCATCGATTCAATAATTATATTAGTCAGCTAAAAATATTGATTTCATCAATCAGTAGGCTTCAGCATACAACACTTTTTCTCTTGACGAAGTTTGAAATATACTGTTGAGTTTTGCCAAAACTTAGAACTCATCTAGTTCATACTTTGCTATGTTTGTCGTTTTCGGTCTCTGCTAGATTTTAAAAAAGCGACCGTTCTACTGATTGAAAACTCAAATGGCACTATTTTCCTGCATAGAAAAATAGGGATAAGAATGATCTACGTACTCATAATACTCATCCGCTTTTTGTCGTTGTCAGGACAACGTATCCAATCATTTTTAACTTCACGCTTCTCCTCCCCATTGCTATGGAAACTCATCAAATAATCTTTGGTTTCTCGCCATGTGGTTGCCAAGACCTGTGAAGATTGTCAAAATCTCGATATTTAAACTTCCACTCACGATTATTTTTTAGAAAATGCATGTGACTTCCACAAAAAGCATTTCTTTTGATGATATTTGCCTTATTATTACGTTATGTCGAAAATTTATCATTGTCAAATATTGTTTTCAAACTATACAGGAAGAACACTAACATTTTCAACTGTATATTCTCTCGCGGACAAAAAAAATGGTCTTTTTCTATTTCATTTTCGCATCACTTAATGCGTTGTTTTAAAAAAACAAAATATACCACAAGATGCAGCGTGAAAAGAACTATAATCTACAAAGTAAACCTTGTTTTAATTTTGTACTTTTTGTTTTCAAAGAAGGCAAAATTCTGTGCGACCAATGTTCGACGCTGCGAGAAAATCATTTTTTTCTATGCGAACGAGAAATTCCTTTTTTCTTATTTCNGCCCCAAGTGTTGACTACATTTTAAAACAAACCCGAACTTTCTAGCTTTCAAAATGGCGGAGAAATCTGGGACGCACGAAAACGTAAAATCAAAAAATCTCATTTCGAGAAAAACGCAAAATACTTTTTAGAAGTGTATTTCATGACTTTTCATCCAGTTATAGTGTTTTTCGATCATCTTAAATAATAAAAGACACTTTGAACTCATTATGGGTGAAGATATTACGACAAAAATTTATTAGAAAGTTCATCGAAATGATCTTAAAAACCAGATTTTAGGAAATAATATGTGATAATGAATGATATGATAATAAAATAAGTAGTATTTTTAAAATCTGAGATAATGTTGGTTATTTTTCGGTAATCAATCATCGCCACCTGCTTCATATACATCAGTAATGTCATCATCTGACAGTTCTAATGCAATATCAGTGAGTTCTAATGTAATATCATTTACAATGGAATCATAGTTTTCTTCATTCGGAGTATATGGAAATTCATCACTTTCAGTTGAAGCAGTACTTGCAGCAACTGTTGTTATTGTTTTTGCACGTTTTAAATGCTTGTTCTTAGTTTTTGAAGTACGAGAGCTTCTTAAAACATCAAGTTTTCGAAGGCATTGAGTGGAGTAATAGCCCATAGATAAGAATATGCTTGTAAAAATTTTATTCAATGCTTCATATCCTTCATTAAAAATAATTGTAGATAATCCCAATCCAGTACGAAGAGTTGTTGATGAACAATAACGATGTTTTGGGGCCATAGTCCGCAATAATGAGTGGTAGGCCTCGTTAGCGTTTTGAGATCCACCACCTACAACACGTGCTAAACTAGTATGAGAACATAACTCTTCAAACACCGGTTTTATCATATCTAAACAGGCTCGTGGAATAGATATTTTGGAGCAAGAAAAGCTTTGACCAAGTGACTCTGCTTGGAGGTACTTGCACCATTTGGGATCGCACCAGTCATGCATTGGTTCTTCATTTGTTGAATAATGATGATTGAATATTGATATAATTTATTTAGATCAGTCTTATTTTCACGTATTGCTTTAGCAAAATATATCTTGAATTTAATAACATGACCATCAGTCATACGACCTTTGCCACTAAATCTCTTGCCATCAGATAAAATCTTATTCTTATTTTCTCGTTTGATTTTCATTATGCGATTTAACATTCTTTTTGCAAAATGATTTGTATCTTCCAGTTTTTTTATATCAATATCAGGATATGGAGGATTGTCGACCAAATATTTGTGTACTTTTGCATCTCCATCACCAACATACGAAACATATCTTCTATTATATTTTGCTAATGAACGACAGAACATTTCATGAATCATTTCCTTTTCCATTCCACCCGATGAACCTGAATAAGAAACAATTTTTATTGTGAAGCGGTTCATAGTTTATAAAAACTTGCCTTCATAATTCAATTGGCATTTGTGGTTTTCTTGAAACGTTTTGAATAAAGCAGGATTGACATGGCGCAGACCCTCCACACCCTGGCATTTAATACATTTTTTAGATGACCATGTAGTATCTAAAAGTTTTGGACGTTTTGTTGTAGAACACAAAGCTGAAACACCATGGACACTTGTATGACCACGTGTAAGCCACGCACCATCTCCACTAACTGTTAGCTCTCGTGCACCACCAGTTTCAGCAATTGCTTCTTCAACAGCAGCGATCATTGATTGTTCTTGACATTTTTCAACATAATTTAAAATAAATTCTTGTGTTTCACTATATTTCTGTTGTTGTGTTGGTGGTGGTAGATTCAATGCACCTAATCATTTTATTATCCCATGGTAACCTAAGCCACATAGTGTAGCACCAAGTTCTAATCGAGCATTGATTTCTCGACGTCTACCATCTCGGACTTGTCGTGATGAATATAAATGAGTAATACATCCACAATTAGAACATACAAATTCTACATGCATGTATAATCCATTTCTTGTTTTGATAGATGGTGAACCATCCCATAAACGATTACATCCGGAACATAAAGTTTGTTTCATCAATGAAATCAAAGATTTCATGTGAATAAGTAAATTGATATCCAATAAGTCATCCGCCTCATCTATATTTACCGATGGTGATGATAATGATGATGATGATGATGATGATGATGATGATGATGATGATGATGATGATGACGATGATGATGAATCCATTCTCTTGCTTTTCACTTGCTGTGATCGGATTTGCCTCATAATAGACCTTCCGCTTTTCTTTTTCTGACGAATATCTTTGCTGCTCATTTGCTTAAAAGATTCGTATTACTTTTTTCTTTCGTATACTTCGAATTCTGTTTTTGGATCAAAGCAAACACGATGAAAGTATAGAGAACGAACGTAAAAGAAAAACAAATATATATCTCGCTACGTGATAGAATCAAAGTCAAGATAACATTCTGTACAATAGAAAGAAATATATTTTACCATTACAAGTTGAAATGCGCAAAAAAAATTGAATTATTCGAAAGACGTCTTTTTTCATCGGTAAAAGTTTTAAGAAAAACCTCTGTAAAACCATGAAAAACCGTCGTAAACAAAATAAACTATAGTGCATTCGATAGCGGACGTGATGCTCTATCACATGCGTCATTAAAAAGAAACCGATAAATTTGACAGAAATCAACTTTTTTTGGGGAGGTGGTGGGCCTTAATCTTATTTCTGACAGTTTTTGCTATTCAAACACATGGTATTTATATTTTGTTATTCATTTTTCTATTATGCAATTTTCTTCTTTTAGGATTTGTATTCGGACGAATGTGTTTAGGTGCTCATCAAGAATATCAAATGTGTGGTTCCGCTTGTCCTCTTACATGTGTTGATGTAAGAAATCCAAGATATTTCAAATCATGTGCATATCAATGTATCCAAGGTTGCTTTTGTAAACGTGGTTTTACTCGAAGATCTCATTCAAGAAGTCATTGTATTCCTGATTGGCGATGTTAATCAAGTTTAATTTTCTTTAAACGCAATTATATATTCAATAGAAAAGACTTATTATTCACTATAATATCTTTCGAAATTTTTATTATTCGATAAAAAGAATTAAATAGGTATCAAGAAAGACTTTGGAACTCTTGGATCCACGTAAAACATCAATACTGATGTTACCTTAAATAGAGTTTATTGGCATTGATGTAAAACATATAATATATTCACTTCAATGGATCATCAAATGTCAAGAGAACAAAAATAACTTGTTTTCATTCAATACAATCGTTCACAATGAAAAAATGCATAAATATGAAGAAAAAAACAAATACTTTTTCATTTTATGTGTACATCAATGTCCTAGAACTAAAAACTTCGAAAAAAAAGAGAAATAGGTTCAATTATACTTTTCTATTGATGATGTCACTTCAAAGTTCAGCATTTTGAGGTTGTATGAACAAAATTCATTGTTGTATATTATATATATATATACATAATTTGTAAGACCATGAGTTTTTCATTTTATAATAATACTATAAAAAATATCACCTCCTTTTGATTAAACTTTTTAATTGCTTCTGAAGAATCTAATTTTATTCGAAGATTTGGTAAGAGCTATATTTTACAATACAGTTAGACTAGTACAAAACGACACTAATTAGAAGTATTATTCCTGCTAATACAATATTCAAGATGATTTTATTCAGGGACATGTAAAATGGAACTTTATTTTATATTTATTATCATATTTCATAAATATCATACAACGAAATTTGTTCATAAGAAGTTCTTTATAATTAATATATTGATTTTATCGTCTATATAGTTAGTAGTAGTGTCACTTTAACTTTATTTTACTTTGAAAAAGTACAGTTAAGTACTTTACTTTACCGAGTAAAGTAAAGATATAGTGACACTCCTAATAATTAGTGATCAAAATCAGGCAGAAACAATATACAAAACAGCACTTTAATTCAAGTGTAAATCTGAAACAACACAACCGGTTAGATAACTTGACTTTAAAATCGATTTTAAAACTAATGCAAAAAGTAGCATTGGAGCTAGGCAAAAATCCCATGATCGCTTTTTGTCATGTTTGACCATTATCATTTCTTTGATGTCGTAGTCTTAAACTGCTGAACCTCTCTAATTTTGTGATGTACTCTAATATAGACTAAGGCTATATATGAGATCCTCACAATACACTGAAATAATTGTTGAGAAGTCTAAATTCTAATTTTGAGGGTGCGGGTGTGAGTGTACGTATGGATGTGACTGTGGGTGGGTGTATCGTTGTGTCTTGTTCTCTCTCGCATCCACACCCACAGACCTACCTACGCTCGATACCAGGCTGTGTTGGTTAAGTGCTGGGTTTTTTTTTATTAGTGTTTGAGTTCCGAATTTACGGAATGGGGCGAGTGCTGTAGAGTAACAGCTATTCCTGTTGATCTCACTCATTCTGTTTTTTGTTTGGCTTAAATAGATGGAGAGAAGTAACGAGAAATACATTTGATGATTGTTACCGCAGTATAAGCTTTTCTGTCAGAAAAGTAAGAGTGAGTATCAACAAATTGAATTTTGTATCATAAGATATACAGATCAGTCTGTTGATAAATTGAAACCACTCGTGGAAGCTAAGTTCTTGAACACATGCTTTTTTTGAGTTTCTATTATGTAAATATCGATTAAATATTGGATAAAGTTTTGATTCTTTCGATTTTAATTCGACATTGTTATGTTGAATTCCTCATGCCTTCTAATGAGTCCTTTAAGCAAAGACAAAATCGGTAGCGGTAGCGAGATTGTTGAACACATCCACAGTTACATTAAATGAATATGAATCATACATATATTCGACTGATAAAAATGTTTTGAAATAAAGTAAGGAGCTCTTTTTCTCGTTCATCTTTTTGCATGTCAACCTTTTGAATAATACTCTTACTTGATACTCTTAATTTTTTCTTTTTTCCTGAAGCACAAACAAACAACTAATCGATTTCTTTACTACTGGCTTCTTACATTCAGATCGATAGCATGACCGTTATCAGAATGAATCAATTTCATCTTGCAGAAAATCGAATCAGCAAGAGAGAGCTTTGCAGGCCATATTTTGGTTGTAATAGTTTTCGTGAATCAACGACGTACTGAAGCTTGAGGTCAGAAAAGAATATCATTTTCGATTTCGGGGTTTTCACTCATTTATATTTAATAGATAAAATCTCAATTATGATTAAAAAATCAATTAAACTACTTGTCACAACTATGAAATATTGGCGTTATCCTAAAGAGCTCCTTCTCATCCCACTAACAGTATGGTCAGACCTCGAACAATCGTTTCTTTCAGCAATATTCACAAATGTTAGTGAGCACTATTTTCAAACCGGTTTCATATCAATCATATCGATTCTAAGTAGGCATTTATCACTTGCCCCCTAAGTCCCAAACTCGTCGATCTTGTTTTATTTGTGTTTGGCATATGCTGTTCTCTCGGAAGTGTCTTCTTCGGTCACTTTATTAAAAAAGCCGGTCGGTGGCCATTTATGGTCCTTGCTGCTCTGATCAACTATGGACTCATTATTACTATGCTTGTATGAAAACCGTCCAAAGATCGCATTGGTGTTCTTTGTATAGTTGCTGGCCTTTGGGGTATATCAGAATCAAATTGGCAAGTTCAAGTTTCTCTGCTGTACAGTGTACTGTTTCCTGATAGTTATGAGGCAGCTTTTTCAGATTTCTCCTTATGGGAGTCGCTTGGATTTTCTCTGTTCTACGTCATGATGCCATATGTTCGCGTTCGAATCACTCTGATTATTCTTCTGATAGTTCTCTCATTGGGAATGTGTGGCTATGGTTTAGTAGAATATCGATGGCTCAGAGAAGAAAAGACAAAAAATGAACGCCAAGCATCGATAATACTTTCTTAGGAGTTGAAGCTTTATGACACTGTTTCGATATAATGCTGTTCTCACGAATAGCTTCCCATTTTTTTATTTTTTTCATCTCCCATCATAATTGCTGATTAGATTTTTCTTGTTAATTGCTATTCATGTTTATTGTTTCACAATTTATTTCAGTTGCATGACTGCTTATTTTTGAAGAAGATGATATTGATTGGTCTCTTGAAATGTCGCTCACCATATTGATTAAAAAGTAGCTAAAATGTGCTTTTCCACTTAACGTTGCATGACCGATATAGCGGTAGCATAAAGAAAGCTTATCCGTTCTTATTTTTACGAGACGACATGAATTAGAGTCAAACACTGGTAAAGTCATCAAAGTCACGTTTTTCAGTTTTCTCTAAATATTCAGTCTCTGGTGTCTCTGGGATACTTACCAACGGCAGATGCTTCGGTTTTAATGTTCAGAAATCAGCACTGCTCTACAAGATACGATTGGTTGCAACCAATGTCGAGGGGTTCATGCAAGAGATATCACTAATTTAGTGAAGCTGCTCCATTAGTCTATCCAGGCCTCTCCGTCTCAAAAAAAGCCAATTTTCGTCAGAAATTTCGAAATTGAGATAATTGCATGGGAAGATAGCTCATCTTCAGATCTTTCAGAAATGATATCATTTTTTCCCAACATCTATTCTTTCGCGAAAAATTTTGATGATTTCTGTCATCTACTGCTTAAAAAACAGGCTTTTTTCGGAAAAAACAGAAAATGTTTGCCGTTTTTTTCTCAGTCTATGCTTTCTTGAACGCGCAAGCAAGAATTCTTTGTCCAGGCTCATTCTACATGTTTAAATCTTTTTTTTTGTTTGAAAGAACATGTCAAAATGCAGTGCCGACCAGAGCCCTTTTTTTAAATTATGCTTTGTTTTTACTATATATACAAAAACTTATATAAATAGACACCCATTTCTGGCGCGTTTTTTGAGTCATTGAACTTGTGATCCATTTTGGGTATGAGGGTGTGGGTGTGAGGGTGTGGATGTGAGGGTGTGGGTATGAGGGTGTGGGTGTGGATGTGAGTGGGCGTGGATGTGGGGTGTGGGGGATTGGAGCGTAGGCTGTAGGTGTGAGTTGGGTATGCTTTCAGGGAAGACTCGCACCCACCCTACACAGACAATTGCATCCACACCCACCATACATGGGGGTACAAGCGCACTAATTCTAAGCTTTTTTATACTGTAGGTGAGAGTGCATGACAATACAAATTCTGCAAATTCTAGGTGTTTTTCCCCAGTATATGACAATATATGAGAGTATACAACAAATACATGACA